TTCCATCTGCGTCCTGAGTGTTCTGAACTTTTTTTATTCAGACATAAACCGGGGTGTTTACAAGTGGTAGGAGAGAATAATTAAGCCTTCTAAAATTGAAGTAAATTTCATTTGAAATTCACTCTATATATTTGAGCTTACAAGTGATTAGATTTTTATTTTTAATTGAAATGGCTTCTTTTTCAAAATGATTTTTAAGGGTAATGCTTTTTATTCTAGGCTACTCTATTAAGTAACCTGAGTAGAGCACAGAATATTGGAGCATGATGACAAAAAGACTGTGTACATGGCTCATTAACTTTTATAAGGAGATTCTGAAGGCTGAAAATAGCAGGTCCGAGCAGAGATTGCCAGTGTGAGAAAAGAACAAATCAAAATTTCTGTGCAGTTATTGGTCCAAATGTTACGTATTAAATAAGTGTTTTTATAGTGAAGCACAGAAAGGAAATATTTTACATCAGACATACATTATACATGTACAAAGCTATCTGACAGTCTTCAATGGAAAGGAAGTTATTTTAGAGGAAATTACTGTTAGATGCTGGTATCAAGTTTATTAAGTTATGAAACAACAGATCTTTTAAGCCTGCCTTTTCTTTGTAGATATTGAAGACTTGCCCCCAACAGTCCAAGAAAAATTATTTGATGAGGTACTTGATAGAGATGTTCAAAAAGGTAAGCATGGAATTATGAGTGTAATTTGCCTTTCATCTATCAAGTAACTTTTGGTTTATTTTGTAAGATATGGCAACTTGCTTTATTTTAAATTAAAGATGTAAAGCCCTTAAGAACAGTGTCATGTTGTACTGTTAAAAATGCTCAAGCCCAGCTCTTAACTGTGTTAGAGTTAACAAATAAGGGTACAAAAGTTTTCAAACTTTGGTTTTCTACTTCCTGTTCCAGAGTGCATATATTTATTTCTATGTTAAACATTTTTAGGGAATAAAGTTATAAGGGATTTAGCTGAGCACTGTGACTCATGCCTGTAGTCCTAGCACTCTGAGAGGCCAAGGTGGGAGGATCACTTGAGGTCAGGAGTTTGAGACCATCCTGAGCAAGAGTGAGACTCTGTCTCTACTAAAAATGGAAAAACTAGCCAGTTGTTATGGCATGCACCTATAGTCCTAGCTATTTGGGAGACTGAGGCAGGAGGATCTCTTGAGCTCAGGAATTTGAGGTTGCTGTGAGCTAGGCTGATGCCACGGCACTCTAGCCTGGGTGACAAAGCAAGACTCTGTCTCAAAAAAAAGAGAAAGAATTTAAAAGTTGAGTAAATTATTGTAGAGCCACAAGATTTTTCGACTAAAAAAGTTTATATTTCAATTGCTCAAATTTATTTAGGTGTTTATTGGTAAATTACATATAAACCTTTTTATATTTAGAAGAAAATAGATTGTTCCCCCCCACGGAATATTCCTTAATTACATAGACATGAAAATGAACATGTTATTTAAATTCCTTATACAGAATTAGAAGAAGAATCTCCAATTATTAACTGGTCCTTGGAATTGGCTACACGTTTGGACAGTCGACTGTATGCACTTTGGAACCGGACTGCAGGAGACTGCTTGCTTGATTCTGTACTACAAGCTACTTGGGGCATTTATGACAAGGACTCAGTGCTTCGGAAAGCCCTGCATGATAGCCTTCATGACTGTTCACATTGGTGAGCTGGCATCCTTCTTCGTTTCAATCCAGGAGTGCACTTGCTGGGTCGTTTCTTTGTAGTGGTGGGATACCTTTCATCTCAGTTACAGTTTCTGTGGAAACTAGAGAAGAAAACCTTTTTGGTTTTGGACATTAAGACACTTTGAACTTGTCAACGGTTTTATACCTTTTTGCTAAGAGTTAAAATAGAAACATTTGAAGCTTTAAAATGGAAACATTTAGTTTCTATAGAATAGAAACAATGTATTTGGACATTTCAAATACAGCATTTCAAATTATAATAGCCTTAAGTATTGATAAGGTCTTTGCTTATATTTTTAGGTAATATGATTTCATATTTTTGTTTAAGAGATTATGTTGACATTCTATTACTAGTTTTTTTTTTTTTTTGAGACAGAGTCTCACTGTGTTGCTCAGACTAGAGTGCCGTGGCGTCATCCTCGCTCACAGCAACCTCAAACTCCTGGGCTCAAGCGATCCTCCTGCCTCAGCCTCCCGAGTAGCTGGGACTACAGGCATGCGCCACCATGCCCGGCTAATTTTTTCTATATATTTTTAGTTGTCCAATTAATTTCTTTCTATTTTTAGTGGAGACAGGGTCTCGCTCTTGCTCAGGCTGGTCTCGAACTCCTGAGCTCAAACAATCCGTCCGTCTCGGCCTCCCAGAGAGCTAGGATTACAGGCGTGAGCCACCGCGCCCAGCCTATTACTAGTTTTTATTTTTTCTTCCTAATGAAGGGAGTCTTAAGATCATACTTTTTTATTTTGCAAATTTTCAAACCCATAGTAAAGTTAAAAAAAAAAAAAATGCAACAGATCCCAGTATCTCCTTCATTTGCTCCACCAGTTGTTAATGTTTTGCCACACGTGCTCCATCTCTACACACATAGGCGCTCCCCTGTGCCAGCTAGTTTTAGACATCTTGGTGCTTTGCCCTTCAATATATCAAAGTGCATCTTTCCAGGACGGTAATATTCTCCTACCTAGCCACATCCCCGTTACTACACCTAAGAAAACCAATATTGATTCAGTTTCCCAACATACAGTTCATATTCACATTTTCCCAGTTGTCTCAAAATGTTCTTCATATGTGTTTTTTTTTTTACCCAGGATCCAGTCAAGTTTTGATTTTTCCAACTGTAAATTCACCCACTGAGGTATCAGTCAGTGGAAACAGTGATGGTGTTTGTGAATTAATAGTTTACTCTTTATATTCATTTGATTTTTGTGGTTCTGTGAGTATAATTACTCAGTTATTTTATAAATGATAAACTTGAGGCTCAGGCTAAGTTAAACTGCCCATTGTTGACATTAGTAAGTAGCAGAAGTCATTTAAAATTTTATATTAATTTGCCTGTATCAGTATCAAAATGTCATTTTTCTCCTGTATTTAATCAAATGCTTGCAATAATGCCAAAGGCCTACTCTAGATAACTTTATGACCCTACTATCTGTATGTCATTTTCAGGTACTTACTAGCTATAAATTCTGTTGTCAGTATTTAGGGATTACAAGAAGAATATAAACTCTATGAGAATAGGGATTTTGTTTTGTTTCCTTGTGGAAGATCCCATATCTAGAATAGCCTGACATATGGTAAGTGCTTAGTAAATAATGAAAGTGCTCTCTAGAATTTGGAAATGAGAACAATGTAATTACTTTCATGAAAGCTAATTATAGATCAAAGCATAATGCAGAGTAAAATAGAGTAAAAATTTGTCTCCTGACAGAAAGAAAATAGCTCCCTGGCTGGCAAGCCTGGATAGTCACCTGATTGGATATATAATATACCTGAAGAAAGAATGTGTCACTCAGGTGGATGGTTTTAGTCATTTAGTCTTTGTCCAGGAGAGAGGGCTTTGTGCCTTTTATTGGAAATGGTTGCTGTGAAGTGGTCTGGTAGTATGGGAAGACCATTCTTGTTTATGAGATGTGTTCATCAGGTTAGGTAAGCCTGATGATGCCATTAAATGTTGTCCAAGCCCTCTTGATGAGATTGCACGCTCACCAAGCAACATCTTGCTGATGATTTCTTTGGCCATCTCTGTGGGCCTGCCCATGTTGAGAAGATGAGAGTGGTTTGGTTCCTGTGATAATGGTTTCTTGGCATTGTGGTTTCATAGGTCAGCCTTGTAAGTTTGGTTAATGTGACTCTGCCCTGTAAGATGGATCTGTTCTCTCGTTCTGGTGAAGTCTAGCTTCTTAGCCCAAAAGCTAGATTTGGGCCATGGTAAATCTGTCACTTTGCAAGTCCCCTTTAAAAAGGCAGCCTGGTAGTCATTGCTGTGGCAGAAATATCCTGGCTTTGTTGAAAGGCTGGAAAGTACACTGTAAATTTCAGCAGGGGATGTCTTTTTTTCTAATTGTGAGCTTTTTTTTTTTTTTTTAAAGATGTTTGTGGCGAGGAATAATTCTTTGGGGCTTATGCTACCTGTTCCTCAAAGCTAGAAATACGTGATCTTATGAATTGGAGTTGCCCCGTATGTTTGTATCAGGACTGGAATTCCGAGGTGGTTGTGAGTCAGTTGAGGTCCCAAAAGTCTAGCACAGAGGTAGGGAGACAGGGGCTCAGGCAGTAAATGGGCTGGGTAAGGGGAGTGCCTGTTAGAGTGAGGAGGGAGGCTCTTTGTTTACAGCCACTGGTAAGAGTTGTTGCAGCCGAGCTTTCAGTAGGTACTCCTTACTCTAAAAGGGTGCTTCAGGAGTGAGGACCTAGAGCTGGCGTATGGATAGGTATCCCAAAACAAAGTGTGCCTTGGCACCACCTCCTCTGATCCCTGCTGTTGGGTACCTTTGCCTGACGTTTTACAGTGTAGGCATAGGAAGCTGCATGATTGCAGCGATCACACAGACATCCTTAGAGTATTGTGGGGGTGGGGACGAAGATTATCTAAGGGGGGCGAGGGAGGAAGTATTGTTGCCATACATTCAGGAGTTCAGTTGACATGGGTCAAATATATTAGCTTTAATGAATAACCTTTAAATTGTTCCTGTGTTGTCATGGGTTTGTTCACATAGGTTCACATGACTAGTAGAGGGTAGAATGAGGGGGTGAGCAACCTTGGGTTCTGTTCTGGGCATGGAGAGGAGGAGACAGCACACTACTGGTGTAGTCTCCTTTTGAAGCCGCTCTTTGCTGAGGTGCCATTTGTACGTAATCAACTGAGATGAGATGTTTTCTTAAGTCATTGAAATTATCTAGTAGAAACTGAGAAAGCAATTTTTAAAATACAAATCTCTCCACCTATCACTTCAAGGTAGGCTTTTAAAAATGTATTTGTAGCTGTGCTGTTGTGTTGGATACCCATGATTTGAGCTGACTTAAGTCTGAACATATTGTACTTACCTTTCATTGACGTGTCAGTCCAGTTTCTCAGGTGGGGACAGGTGGGAGTTAGAATTATTGCTGTTTTTGTTACTATTTGGTAGAATTGTCTGTAGCTTTTGTATTGTCGTATTTTTCAGTATAACCTGCTGCAAATGGTGTTCGGATGTAGACCAATAAGTAATACATGTTTGACTGTGCCCTCCTTAAGTATATGTAGTTAATACCTGTGCTGTCATCTGGGCAGGTAAAATTATAATGGAAATATTAAAAAGTAAGATTAAAATATCTTAAATATTAAGCATGAATTTCGGTTCTTATCTTTTACAAAAAACCAAATTTATTACAGTATAATTTGCATACCTTAATAAAATACACTTGTTTTAAGCATACAATTCGGTGATTACTATTAAATTTACAGAACTGTGTAGCCAGCACTACAACAGAAATATAGAACATTTTTAGCACCACAAAAAGAAACTTTGTGTCTTTTCTCAGTCCCTCCCACTTCACATTCCTAGCCCCAGACAACAACTAATCTTTCTACATCTGTACATTCGCCTTTTCTGGACATCTTATATAAATGGAATCATAAAATATGTATGTAGTCTTTTGCGACTGGCTTCTTTCACTTAGCATAAAGTTTTAAAGGTTCATCTATGCTGTAGCATGTATCAATGCTTTGTTCCTTTTTATTACTGATTAATATTCTACTTTATGGCCACATGCTGCATTTTGTTGATGTATTCAGTTGGTGGACATTGGGTTGTTTGTACTTTTTGTCTGTTATAGATAATGCTGCTGTGACATTCATTTACAAGTTTCTGTGGGACAGTATGTTTTAGTTTCTCTTTTGCAGATCTCTAAGTGTGGAAATGCTGGGTCATAAAGTAAACTTACTATGCTTGGCATTTTAAGAAACTATATTTCACAGTGTCTGTAGCATTTTACATTTCTGTCAGCAGTGTGTGAAGATTATAATTTTGTCACATTTTCACCAACACTTATTGTTTGTCTTTTTGATTATAACCATTCTTATGCATGTGAAGTAGTATCTCATTGAGGTTTTAATTTACATTTCCCTAATAACTGATGATACGGAGCATCTTTTCAAGTGCTTATTGGTCATTCATACATCTTCTTTGCTGAAATATCATTCCATATCTTTTGCTCATTTTTAAAGGGATTGTCTTATTATTGAGTTGCAGGTGTTTTTTAAGTATGAGGTCACTCATGGATAAGTAATTTGCGGATATTTTTCTCCATTCTGTGGCTTTTCACTTTATTAACAATGTCTGGTGAAGTGCAAGAGTCTTTAATTTGATGGAGTCCATCCAGTTAACCAATACTTTTATCACTTGTGGTTTTGCTGTTGTATCTGAAGAAATCTTTGTCTAGCCCAAGGTCACAAAGGTTTACTCATGTTTTCATCTAAGAATTTTATAGTTTTAACTTGTACATTTGGTCTGTGATCCATTTTGAATGAATTTTTATTTAAAGTGTGAAGTGTAAAGTTTTAAATTGATCTTTTTGCATGTGGATATCCAGTTGTCCCACTACTATTTATTGAAAAGACTTTTTTCTCCATTCAGTTGCCTTGGCACTTTTGTTGAAAATAAGTTGACCGTAAAAGTTGGTTTCTGGGCTCTTAGTATTTTTCCATTGATGTATATATGTATCCTTATGTCAGTATTAGTCTATCTGGATATTTGTAGCTTTGTAATAAGTTTTGAAATCAGGAGCGTAAATCCTCTAACTTTGTACTTCTTTTTCAAGATCATTTTGGCTATTCTGAGTCCTTTGTGTTTCCATATAAATTTTAGGATCCATCTTACCGATTTTTGCAGAAAGGACAGCTGGAATTTTGATTGGGATTGCATTGAATCTGTAGATAATTTGGTGAGGGGAAAATATTGCTAGCTTGACAATATTTAGTCTTCCAATCTATGAGCATGGAATTGATTTTTTAATGTTAAGCCAAACTTGTATTCCTATACCATTTGGTCATATATTGCTTAATTTGGTTTCCTTGTCTGTCCTTAGTGAGCCAGGTAGCTTCAGAGTTTAGGTCTTGGTGTGGTGGGGATGATTATTTGAACATGTTTATATTGAAAGTATATATTGAACTTCCTTACTCAGTAGTCTTCTTGAGGAGTTTTAAGTACAATCATCATTTAATTTCTGGCTGACTTAGCTAGCTAGCTGTCTAATTCATAAAGTGATTTTAGGCACTAACCAAGAAATTTCTAATTGCGTACATCTTTCTGTGTGTTAACAATTTGTGTTTGATGATATTTCTGCTTGAACATTTTAAAACCATGTATTTCATCATTGGTGCTAAAACATCCAAATATATTTCTGTATATCTTAGCTATTGTAAAAGAACAATATCGGTATTTTTAAAATATTTGGAATTGTGATTTTAAAAAACCCTCTGTTATCTGGAATATGAAAAATGGTTTTTAATCAACCAAGAATTTAAAGTTCTGGAACATTATGTTCTAGTCCTTTGAGAAAATATAAAATGTATTAATTTAGTTTCTAATATAGCCCTCCATTAAATTACTGTAAAGGTACTTGTGACATCAACACATTTAACTTTTCTGTGCTGGAACTTTCAACAGCAGATTATGTTCTTGCCTTTTATTCTTTTACCTAGAATTCCAGGGTATAAAAGAGGAAGAGGATGTTATAAAAATGTCTGTCTTCACTTCAGAGGTCTTGGCTGACTTGTTTTGTAAGATAGCAAACCACAATTTTCAGCATAATTATTTCCGAAGTTAGTTAATTTTATATTTGATGTAAAGAAAAAGAATCAAGTTTGTTTTTAGTAATTCAGTCTACATATTTACAGGAGTATTTAAATATCAAGAAGGAATTATTTTTGTAGTTACAGTGGTTGGTTTTTTTTTTTTTTTGGATTATCAGGTAATCCTCAGAGAAAGATAATTTTATTTATGGAAAGGAATCTCAGGGAAGTGATCTTGATATTATGAACACATGGGATATTTCTCATCTGTTGTTTATACAGTGATCAAGTAGTGATACATTGATGGAGAAATGTAGTGCCTTTTTTTTTTTTGAGACAGAGTCTCACTCTTTTGCCTGGGCTAGAGTGCCGTGGCGTCAGCCTAGCTCACAGCAACCTCAAACTCCTGGGCTCAAGCAATCCTTCTGCCTCAGCCTCCCGAGTAGCTGGGACTACAGGCATGCACCACCATGCCCGGCTAATTTTTTCTATATATTTTTAGTTGTCCGATTAATTTCTTTCTATTTTTAGTAGAGACGAGGTCTCATTCTTGCTCAGGCTGGTTTCGAGCTCTTGAGCTCAAACAATCTGCCCGCCTCGGCCTCCCAGAGAGCTAGGATTACAGGCGTGAGCCACTGCGCCCGGCCATGTAGTGTCTTTGATTGTATCCAGCATCTCACCTGTTTTGAGTGGTTTTTTTGGTTTAAAAATCAATAGTAGATTGATTCAATTTCAGTAGACAACTGAAATCACTAGTTTTTGAAGTTTGATGAAGGTTTTGTGGGTGGTGAATCAGATTCTGGCTGTAGATGTTATAAGGTGTCTGATATCAGAATGGAGGCATTTTTAATTTGAAAAATATATTGCAAACCAGGTAAAATCAATAAAATTATTAATCTGTTCACATGAATTGCTTAAAGACTATATCAAATAAATGATTAGAACATTAAATACACTGTCTATAGGCTAATTTTTTTACTGTCTTTTTCAGGTTTTACACACGCTGGAAAGATTGGGAATCCTGGTATTCTCAGAGCTTTGGTTTACATTTTTCCTTGAGAGAAGAGCAGTGGCAAGAAGACTGGGCATTTATACTCTCTCTTGCTAGTCAGGTAAGAATGCTTGAGGCCTTGTTGCTTCTATGAGAAAATTAAGCCACATGACCTAAATTCCTTGATTTACTTGAGCAAACCATATTGGAAGCAACGTAGAACAAAGAAACTGACGTGCTATCAGTTGACTTGGGCTCTAGTCCTGACTGCTCTTTATCAAATATATGACCATAGCAAATCCTCACTGCAGACCAGGGACAATAATATGTGTCTCTTATATCAAGTGATAAAAACTGTCAAAGTGAAACTGTCTTGTGATGTTTCTAAGCACTCACAGTCTTCAGGTTGCTCTGCATTCCTCCTAGGCATAGGAGGTTCAGTGCCTGCTTCACCTACCTGCAGGCTAGCTCCTGTTCTGTGTCTGAAGTGGGGGCTACTTCAGATTACTGAATTTAGCAGTAGGTATTTGCTGCTGCTGCTGAGCTGTCAGGCCCTGAGGAACAAACTACCAATCTCCATAGTGTTCCCCAGTAGTGAGACTGTACACATGTGACTTAGGCAAAGGGAAAGGTGCAGTCTAGCTTACTCTGGATTAATTACCATTGGTAAGTATGAGTTTTAATTAATGTGGGAATGAAATTTTCCAACATTTGTTAATGTGACCTTTTTATAATGAAGCCTTCCTATAACAGAACTTTGTAGGATTGTCCTTCTTAGACTCCTAGTTTTATGCTAGTTTTATTTTGTGAGGCATATTCAGTGCACTAAACTGTAAAGCTCAGATATATGCACAACAGACATCCCTTTTTCTTTCCAGAAAGCACCATAGTTCGCTTGAACTTTGAGAAGGAAGTGTCTTTTGTCTTTGGGCCATTTGGGCAGGGTTCACACTGGCTGATTTACATCTTGACACATGGACGTTGTGGCCATGTGTTGTTAGAATCATTGTAGTTGGAAGATAGGCCTATTTAGTATTAACATTCAGGAGTTAGGCGATACATCATTTACATTTGTATGAAATCACAGGGCTACTTTCACAGGCAACTTAACCATCACTTGTGATTTGAGTCTCTGGTTCCTCAGAGTTAATGTTGGGGTTTGATAGTAAGGGATATCCCAAAATATTTATGCACATTTATCTGGCTTGTGAGTTTGGATAGTGAATGACACCTGTACGTAGACTTTGTAGAGCAATCAAATGATTCTACAACTTGACAATAATTATTTTTTAAAAGTGAATTGAGATCGTATGCTAAAGATAGTATTGCTTTTTATACATTAGCTTTCCAGGAGTGCTAATAAACATTTTAAAGCAAAATTGCCTTTTTTTCCCCCTCTTCTCTATACAGCCTGGAGCAAGTTTGGAACAGACACACATTTTTGTACTTGCACATATTCTTAGACGACCAATTATAGTTTATGGAGTAAAATATTATAAGAGTTTCCGGGGAGAAACTTTAGGATATACTCGGTTTCAAGGTAAGCTATCATTCAAGAGCATTTTAGTTCTTACTTACTATTATAATGTAGTTGACAGTTTTATTCTCAGGTAATTACTAACTGGAAAGTAGGATCAGAGTACATCTTGAAAGTCAGGAAGTGGAGCAGCACACTGGGGTGTGTCCATGTGGGAAAGGGGGCAGCCAGCTATTTCGACCTGAGACAATAGGGATTTTCTGCCCTCTTTTTCCAGGTGTTTATTTGCCTTTGTTGTGGGAACAGAGTTTTTGTTGGAAAAGTCCAATTGCTCTGGGCTATACAAGGGGCCACTTCTCTGCTTTGGTTGCCATGGAAAATGATGGTTATGGCAACCGAGGTGCTGGTGCTAACCTGAACACCGATGACGACGTCACCATCACGTTTTTGCCTCTGGTTGACAGTGAGAGGAAGTTACTTCATGTGCACTTTCTTTCTGCCCAGGAGGTAAGCAGTATATTTCTCCAATTAACTACTTAGTAGTAACTTTGTACCAGAACCCAGCCTAGGGTGGTTTTATTTGCACTGTCAATTAAGTTTCTGAATGTGGTTGTAGTAATTGCTACATTCTGTAAATGCCAGGCATACATTGAAATTGACCTTTCCAAAACTGTTGTGTGGGGACACAGCAAGGAGCTAAAAACTGAAGTCACTGTCCTCAGGTGATGATGGGTGCTAAGAAAAATAAAGGTGGAGGTTTGTGATTTCAGTAGGGTGGTAAGAGAATGGGTCACTGAGGAGGTGGAAGTGAGTCTCAGCAGAATCTGGGGTTAGAGTTCTAAGAATGGCAAGGCCAGTGTGGCTTAGGGGAGAGGGCAGGAGGGGAGGAGATGAGGGTCAGACATGATAAGGAAGGGGTGGGGTTAATCCAAAGCCTTCTAAAGCTTTGGCTTTTACTCTGGATAATTTGGTAATGGCCAGTGGCCACTTTGCCCAGAAGAGGACCGTTGGCTGCTGGGTTGAGACTAGACAGACACCTGGGCAGTGGCAAGAACAGGAGCAGCAGGTCAATGAGCGGGTGGACAACAGGTGGTGAGAATGTACAAAAGAACACTCCCTCAGAAGGCCCATATTTTTATAAAATTATTGGTCTTTTATTTAATATACTAGCAATTATCACAAAACATTTATAATCACAACATTAAGAGGAAAAAAATTCATAGACCACAGCTTGTGTAACTTCAACTGTATATAATCTACCCAGTAAACTTACCTTGTCATGTGGTTGAAGCTGTTGAGTGACTTTATGCCATTTTCTTTGCCAAGATAAGCTTATTAGAACATTTGCTTTTTGTTATTGTATCAGACTACCTCCTGGGGTGTTCTTCCCTTTAGCATTTTCTGGTAATTTCCCCATTGATGTATTTTTTAATTTAATCAGAGCAAACTGGGCTTTAATCATAAAACTGATAAGAGGTTGAAAACCATGTTAAAACAGCTTGTTGCTTTGGCCTTTTCTTTAGCTGTCATACCAGCTGTAGGTTTCTGTTAAATTCCTATTAAGAGTCTGATCTGTTGTATTATTTCCCCTTTTCCTTCACACTCCTCTAAAAGCTAGGGAATGAGGAACAGCAAGAAAAACTGCTCAGGGAGTGGCTGGATTGCTGTGTGACTGAGGGGGGTGTTCTGGTTGCCATGCAGAAAAGCTCTCGGCGGCGAAATCACCCCCTGGTCACGCAAATGGTAGAAAAATGGCTTGACCGCTACCGTCAGATCCGGCCTTGTACATCCCTGTCTGATGGAGAGGAAGATGAGGATGATGAAGATGAATGAAAAAAATCAGTATCAGAAGACCAAGGCATTGGATCTGTGATGACCCCAAAGTGTGGTGCTCCAAGCAGAGCGTGCAGCATGGAATGAACCCAGTCTGGCCGTATCTGCTCGGAGTGTTTGCCTGATCCACACCCAGTGGAGACAGTGCATCTGATGCATGAGGAGACAGAGAACTTTGGTTGGACTACAGTTTGTAAAAAACTAATTTTATTAAGACAGAACTTTTTTCCTTTCAAATTGTAAATCTGTCTATAAATGTAACGCATGTGGTTGTGTAAGAAACTGTGTAATAGGAAGTTGTACCAGCATCTTCATATTATTGAGAAATTTTTTTCCAGCATGGGCTCTTAAAAAAAGCACATGGCAGGTGGTTCTTTGTTCCTTTGAGATATTCTTTTTTCAGTAGAACCTGGTATTCTACTTTCACCTTAAAAGATCGATTTAACATTAAGTCTCAAATCTGGAAACTTTTTTGTAGAAATTAATCCACAGCAAAACATAAAAATAAATTAGCTTAATAATTTAGTTCCTGTTGTGCCCAATCAAATCAAATATTTTAGGAACAAAACTGCAAGAAAAGCTAAGAATTTTTTATTGGGTGAACTTCATATAGACATTGTTTCCTTGTTTTGAAAAGGGTTTTGGTTTCTATTATTTTGTCTTTTTAAAGTTTTCTGATATGCCCCTTTTCAATATTTAGGTATTTGTTTGGAAGAGTGCCCTAAAATGAGGGTTCTTACTCGAGACTCTGGCAGTGGTCTGTTTGTGAGTATTACTCCCTGGGGAAGGGAGCAGACCCACTTGTCACTAAATGGATTGTGTGAAATTTGCTCAGTTGGACTCCACTGACAATGTTCTACCCCCAAATTGCCATGCAGAGGGTCTTTGGATTTTTTCTGTCTTTTATCATAACCCCTGCTCTAAGCAGATCTTGTTAGAAGGGCATGCCTTTGCTTAGGGAGATTGGGAATACCAGTTTAGTACAGAATAAAGATTTAAGAAATGCAATAAGGTGGTAAATGCATTATATGATGAATTTCTCAGTGTGTAGCCTGAGAATTTTTGCATGTTGGTTAATTGTGGCCATTCTTATTTAAAGTTAAAACTATAATCTTACGTAGAAATTTTTTTTTATAAAAAGTAATTTGACCACTTCAGGTATACATTCAATACTGGGTAAAAATTTCAGACCTATCTCAGGAACACAGAAAGACTTAGTGTCCTGATAAGCACTTTCTTAACTATTGATATGGCAAGGAATTTGGAAAGAAGCCCAATATATATAGACACACACAAACATATATTTTTCCTTCCCTGTGATGAAAAGGCTGTGAAAACCTTTTAAGTATTTGCTTCTTGTTTTCTGTTTAGTTGTTACTGAAATGTGCATAACCTCAAATTTGATGCCAGAATACTAAAAATAGAAAAATACCCATGAGCTGTCATGTCTTCAGTTCTTTCCCCCCCCTCTGAACACTCAGAAAGTTGTTCCCAGAATGAAAGGATAATTTTTGCTGCATGCTAAAACTTGAAGGAAAATATTTTTGCAGTATGATTCCATATAAATGAATTTTGATATAATAATGGTAAATATTACTAAGTGGTTTATGTTTTCTTACAAATTGACTATGGTTTGCTTTCATTTTGGTCAGTAGTTAATAATCAAAGTTCTTAGAAGGCTACCATTCTGACTACTTAGCATCTGTAGTAACTTTCTCCATGTCTAGGGATCTTCAGTGGGCAGAGATCCTGTTCTAGATGCCTGTTAAGCAAAATCTGCCCTCCTGATTGAAGAAGCCAAAGAGGAATACTAGAGGAAAAGCATCTGGTCACTGTAGTCTACATTGCAGATGATGTTCAGAGAATTACAGGCTCAGCATTTAGCTTCTACCTGTGTGTTGTGGTCTGGTGAGTGTTGTTTCCATCCGGTTCCCTCTTTATTTATTTATTTATTATCAGTGACCCTGACCACATATAGTTTGATAGGTACTGTGTTCTTCCCTGTGGGAAAGAATTATAGATGGTTCCATTTCCTAGGCTACTAACAGGAATGGGGCTTTAAATGGTTTTCATAGTAGACTGGCTGTTAAAGGCCAAATTTTCTGGTAAATCACTGCTATATTAAGCTCTTGAACTATTAAACAGCCATAATTATTGTCCCAAGATAGAGTAGTGCACACTCCTTTTTTGAAGATATGTGGCTGGGTGACAGATGTGAATGTCTTTTGATTGATTCTGGACAGTAATAACTGTATGGACTTATATAACTTTATGGTTGTTTTTTTTGGGGTGAAGAGTGTGGTGTTTTTTTTTGTTCTGACCTGTTGTTCTTTCTTGGAGTAAATTTATATATACAATCATTTCCAAAAGCCTGTTTGGGCAACGAAGCTAATTAAACAAGACCCAGGTGCACCACGGATTCAGACCTGTCTTTTTATGTTTTTGATTCTTAGGCTCATCGTGTCCCAGACTGAATATATGTGAAGGTAAAATACTCCCTGTGTATGCTTGGTGCCTCCTTTCCATGCATATTTCGTGGTTATGAAGATCATGTTAAATTACTCTTTTGCTCTCTGGAGTGATAGGTCAGTAACTGTGTGCTCCATCTCTCCATGGGAAGTTGTTTTAATGTAAATTTTTCATGGCAGAGTTGGGATGGGGTGAGTGAGGAGTTGAGGCCAGGCAGGTTGAATGCTTTGACACCATCGTTTGTTTTCTTAATGGGAAGAGAAGGGAAGGGCTCAAAGGGAGTTTGATACCTGGAATTACTGGACTTGATCGACAACTGCAGACACCACTAGTATAAAGGGTTTAATGCTATTTGAAAAGGAAGATCCATTAAATCAACAAAGTTCTTAACCTGTGGAAATGGCTGATGTTACTTATTTTCCAACACTTCTTTGTAAATATCACAATTGTTAGGTTATTGGCAAAAAAGGTTTCAAGATTCACATCACCTTCCTTGAACCGGCTAATTTTGCTTTGGGGTAAATTTAAAATCAAAACACAGGCAACTTTGTTTCTTGAATTGACTTAGCTCTAATCCACTATTTCATCTTAAGGATGGCATGATTTGATAATGATGGACTTGTATGAGGTTTTGATTTTCAATTGAACTATCACATGAGGTAATTGTCAGCATTCTTGAGTCTGGATTAGGCAAATAGAACCCTGGAATCACAGGAGTTGGAAATTGGCTAATTGACAATGCAGTTGCTTTTAAACATCTCAAATAGAGAACTTTTTACATTGGTGAGATGTACTTGAATTTCAGAACTTAACAGAAATTTTAATTACTTTTTATTGAAAACTGCACTGAATGCTAAATGTCCACCTTTACAATAAACAAATACAGTAACGGTAACTCACACTAAAACAAAACATACTTCTGATAGCCATTATTTTTTGTTTGGGACAGTTTTAAAGTTTTTCTTTTGTCACAAAAACAGGAATGTACCTATACAAAGGCTCAAAATAGGCCATCTTTTTAAACAAAAAGGCAATGATTCACAAAAGACTATGAATAGAACATGTAACTAGTTGATACAAATCTAATAGGATTTGTTAAAATCAGTCACATCTAATACATCTGAAGTGTTCTTGTATAAAATATCACGTGAAGAAAAGAAGACTTTATCAATGTCTAAAAAAGTGGGTTTGTTCATAGACAATCTGACAAGTTACCATAAAAAGTGTTTCCTGAGACATAAGGAAATGCAACATTATTCTTCTTGAACCCTTTTAGTTCAAGACTTTCCACTCAATAAAATAGCTGAGGATCTGAAACTGAGAAAATATATTTGAGTACAAACAGCTTGTGAAACTTAATACTTTTTTTTTTTTTTTTGCATCATCAGAGGGTATTACTGAACTTACAGCCAACTTGCCCGCTCAGTATGCAGTTCGGATGTGAAAAAGACACTTCTCTGTACAGGAGCCTGTACTGTCTTCAATCCTATGCGTGCAGATGTCTAACACAGGCAAACAGTTTTCTCCCCATTTTGTAGTAATTTAATCTTCCTATTAGCAAAAAGAGGTAACCAGGCCCTGTAGACCGAAGGGACTAGAGTCATAGGATGGGGATTTCCTCTTAATATTTTTTATTTTGATGTTTGGAACTCTTGATGCAACATTCTAGAGCAGGCTGCTCAGGACCTGCTGTGCCCAAGGGACTGATAAAGGAAAAAGCTCTATTTATTCTTTGTGATTTGATGCACAGATGAAAAACTTAACACACAATAACAGAAGTTGGTCGTTAATAAATCACGTCCTAGTCTTTTCACCGCTTCCGTAAGCAGACATCTTCAGTTTTCTAGCTCTTGTAGTTTTAACACTGCAACATCAATGATGCATATGTCCAAAATCAGTTAAAAAGACCGTCAAATTCCTTTTCTCTTAGTTCATCTATTTTTCACTGTCTCTTGGTCCCAAGTTTATCTGAACGATTACCTTCCGGCATCCTCTGCTATTGCTCATTGGGGTGTTCTCGATTGTCCCCGTGTTTTGTGGGCTGGTTGGGAGAGGGCGCTTGGGAAGGGTGTGCCACTGTAGGGAGGTTGTGAGTCACTGGGATGCCTCCAGGGATGATCCCTTCCATGGCTGCAGGAAGTCCTCCTGGCGCCACGCCCACGATGCCTGGTGGGTATCTAAGGAGCACACAGGAATAGGGTCCGATTAAGTCCACGACAGAGAGTTGCCAAGTTATTGGATCTTTGCCTACTTCTGGTCTTTTTTTTTTTTTTTTTTAAACAACTTTTATGGAATAATTTGTCATCCTGCCTACCCCCAAAGCAAGGAGAAATAGTTTTTTATATAAAACATTGACATCTGAGTCTCAAAAAACTAATCCAATCAGAACACCGGGCCACCAATTTTGTGGCTTTTAGACAAGAGGAAGATACTAGCCCAACACTAATTATGAACATGGATACTGTACTGTTTAACACATTGACTGCCACACTAGGAAAAAAAATTTTCCTTGGGACCGTGAAAATAGAATAAAAACTTTGAAAACAAAATGATCCTAATATAATGAAAAATGTTATTTTTAAATAAAAATTATGAAAACTTAAAAATTAGTAATGTAAAAAGTGATGTGAAAACTTGAAAAATAGTTCATAAGGGTAAAGTGTTTTTCTTGTCAGGCTTAAGTGTAATTTAAAGGTAAACATAAATAGAAAACCAAAATTTACTGACTTCTATTCATTTAATCCACATTTTTAGAATTAAATTGTCAATATCATAACAATAAGAACATCAAGATTTTCATGAACCAACTGCAGGGTTTTACCCAGGGGGCCGCCCATCACGTACCATGTATGCTATGGCAAGGCAGCGTGAGTTGCCTGCATACCACACAGCTCCCAAGGTAAAGAGATGTGTGACTTTATACATGCTTCTCAAGGCCCTTGGCTCAAAAGCAGCATGAGTTAAATTCAACTCACATGGCAGTTAATGTGTTAAAAACCACAGTTTGTACAAAGCAGATTCCTCTAAGTTTTCTGGTTGCTTTAGAAAGTGTTCATGAGGTGTACTGATATAATAATTTCCCAACAGATAGCATGAAGCACTGTTAGAATTGCAGATTGAACACTTGTGGTCCCCTCTCCCCCAGATCACAAATTCAAACCCTGACCCTCCAAAGTGATGGTGTTAGGAGGTGGGGCCTTTGGGAGGTGGATCAGCCCAGGAGGGTCTAGTGCCCTTAGAAAAAAAGGGAGCCCAGGTAGCTCTCTGGCCCTCTGTCTGCCATGTTAGGATGCAGGGAAACACTGGTAGTCTGCAGCCGGGAAGACTGCCCTCACCAGAACCCGACCATGCTGGCACCCTGACCGCAGACTTCCAGCCTCCAGAACCGAGAGAATTTCTGCAGTTTATAAGCCACCCGGTCTGTAGTACTTTGTTACAGCAGCCAGAACTCATTAAGTCAGTGGCTTCCTAGGCTGGTTAGTGTTACACTCCCGTGGCGTGAGATGGGGCAGGGGAGATGGTGTGCTGGCTGCTGGCTCAGTGCCTGCCCTCCCCTGAATGCCCAGACACCGGCTCGTTCTATCCACCAGGCGCTGCGTATGTGAGGACAGTCTGCATTAGCCACCTCCAGAACATACGGTTCTTAGGCACAAGTGGGACTCGCTGTGTTTACACATACGTACAAGGCAGGTGCTTTAGAAGGAGGCGTATTTGCAAAGTTCTCAAACCCTTTATAACTGAGCCAGAGGGGACAGTGTCTTACTGTGGAAGCCACCCTGCCCCAGCCCCTGACTTGCCACACCATTAACACCAGTCAGCAATCCCCAGGACCTCTCCAGAAGGACCCTGCTTGATGGGGTCCCTTCAGGTATGGCCCTTGAGCACGCATTTAATGCTCCAGAGGCCCTAACAGCCATGGACTATCTGAAGGACAAGGATGGGCCACCAACATCAGTAAGGAGGGGA